CGCCCGCAACCCACTGGTTGCACTCAGGGGCCCCACACCTCTGGGGTCCCTATGAGGCCTCCTCCAACCTCTACAGCCTCACCCAAGCCTCCAGTGTAAGCGATGCCCTTGCTGGCGTCTGCTGCGCCCATCCTGGGCTCCCCAATATGGCACTCCCCCTCTTCGGGGCTCGCCGTGCCCACCTCGGGCTTCTCAATACTGCCCCACTCTGGGGCTGGGGTCTATGTACCCCGTATACAACCCGGGGTCTGTTCCCTGCCCGCACCCCACTGGCTGCGCTCAGGGGCCCCACACCTCTGGGGTCCCTATGAGGCCTCCTCCAACCCCTACAGCCTCACCCAAGCCTCCGGTGTAAGTGACGCCCTTGCTGGCGTCTGCTGCGCCCGTCCTGGGCTCCCCAATATGGAGTGCCCCATCCTCTCAGGGCTATAGTGAGCTGTACTTGCAAGTCAGGCCTCTTGCTATATCTCAGCCAAGGGAGCTCCTGCCTCTCCCGTTGCTGACAGGGAACTGCCAGCCTGGTCTCAGCCCTAGGCTTTATAAGGGCCAGGCCCTGCCTCCTACAGGCAGCTGGATCCCCTTAGCTGCCCCGGCAACCCGCAGCTGGGCTCGTTACCCTGGCAACACCCAGCTGGGCTCGTTATGACCTGCCAGGGCTCTCTCTCTCTCCCTGGCAGTTTCTCCCCTCTAGGAGCAGAGCACCGAGGTGCTCTGCGACAGATGCGATCCTTGAAGCACAGGGGAAGTCCATCCCAGCCCATAGGAGAGGTAGCAAAAAGGGCTGGGCAACCCCCATGGCTAAATAGGGGACTCATGGACCTCTTGCATCTGAAAAGAGAAGCCTACAAGAGTTGGAAATCAGGTAACATCACCAAGGAGGATTATTTGGCACTGGTCCATACCTGTAGGGAGCAAAGTAGGAAAGCCAAGGCCAAAGCTGAACTCAAATCAGCTACAAGTATCAAAGGCAACAAACAGTCCTTCTTTAGATATGTGGATACTTGGAAGAAAAACAAGGGCAACATTGGACCCTTGCTAAACCAAATGAGGCAGCTGACAACTGATACCCAGGAAAAAGCTAATTTCCTGAATGATTACTTTGTGTTGGTCCTCCACAACCCCAAGAGGATCACCCTGCCAAACAAGATACAGCATTGCCAGGGTATGGGCAAGCACACGCTCATCATTAGCGAAGATTTTGTGAGGGGACCCCCTGAGAGGCTGGACATCTACAAATCAGCTGGCCCAGATGGAATGCACCCAAGTGCTAAAAGAACTGGCAGACATCATAGCACAGCCAATGGCAAGGATATTTGACAACTTGTGGCGCTCAGGTGTGGTTCCTGAGGATTGGAAGAGGGCCAATGTGGTGCCCATCTTCAAGAAAGGGAGAAAGGAAGATCCAGGGAACTACAGGCCAATCAGTTTGACCCCAATCCCTGGAAAAATAGTGGAAAAAATTGTCAAAGCAACCATCAACAACAGGCTAATGGAATACAACATTTTGAAAGATAGCCAACATGGCTTCATTGTGGGTAGGTCTTGCCTGACCAACCTCATTTCCTTCTATGACCAGGTGACACATCACCTGGACAAAGGAGAAGAGGTTGATATCATCTAGTTGGACTTCAAAAAACCCTTTGACTTCGTCTCCCATAAAGTCCTCATTGTTAAACTGGGGAACTGCGGCCTTGACACACTCATGGTCCAATGGCTTGGGAACTGGCTCTGTGGTCAGACCCAGAGAGTAATAGTCAATGGAACCATGTCAGTATGGCACATGGTGACCAATGACATCCCCCCAGGGCTCCATACTTGGATTAGTACTTTTTAGCATATTTATAAATGATCTAGATTCAGGTACCAAGCAGAGTGGCTAAATTTGCTGACGACACCAAACTATGGGGAAGTGTGGTCACACTAGAGGATAGGCTGGCAATTCAGGCTGACCTGGACAGGCTCACAAGGTGGGCAGATCAAAACCTGATGGCATTCAACACTGAGAAATGCAAGATGCTCCACCTCGGGGAAAAAAATCCACATCATACTTATAGGGTCGGCAATGCTACACTTACTAGCACCATGACTGAAGAGGACTTGGGGGTCGTGATTGACCACAAAATGGACATGAGCCACGAATGTAGTGCCGCAGCTGGCAAAGCAAACAAAAACCTGGCTTGCATCTATCAATGCATCTCAAGCAAGACCCAGGAAGTCATCTTCCTGCTGTACTTGGCTTTGGTGAGGCCACAGCTGGAGTACTGCATCCAGTTCTGGGCTCTGCACTTTAGGAAGGATGTGGAGAAGCTTGAGAGAGTCCAGAGGAGAGCTACACACATGATCAGAGGACAAAAGAACAAGTCTTACGAGGAAAGGCTGAGAGGCATGGGACTCTTTAGCCTGGAGAAGCGAAGACTCAGGGGCAACTCTGTGGCAGCCTATAAGTATATAAGGGGTGTGCACCAGGAACTGGGAGAACATCTGTTTTCCAGGGCACCTCAAGGGAAGGCGAGGTCTAACGGTCACAAACTCGGAGAAGACCGTTTTAAGCTGGACATAAGAAAAAACTTCTTTACCGTCTGGGTCCCCAGAGTCTGGAATAGACTCCCCCCAGAAGTGGTGCAAGCACATATGCTGCTCACTTTTAAAATACACTTGGATGCTTATCTTGCTGGGATCATTTGACCCCAGGAGACTTCCTGCCTCTTGGGCAGGGGGTGGTGGACCCAATGATCCTGCAAGGCTCCACGCTTCCAGCCCTAATGTCTATGAAAAATATGGAAATCTAAGTGAAGTGCCCAAAGACAAGGTATGATCACTTAGTGGTGTCACCCAAGTTTTGAAAAAGCCTGGCATTCAAATAGAAGCCCTTTTTCAGAGTTGGAGACAGAAATGTCACCACCATCTTGACATTGGACTGGACATTAATTTCACGCCCATCAGGATTTGAGAATTAACTGAATGGGAAACAGATGCCTCCTTTAAGACTGGGGAAGAAGGGTTGGGGGCACCCATGATGCAAGGGCTTTGATCTGCCAGTATGTGGCCATGTTTTCATTTGTTTCTTTTTGGTAAAACAAAACTTCTTGCAAAGAACAGCTGAGTTAGCACTGGGCTGAGGTTGAAGATGAACCTGTGCACCATAGACAAGAACTCCATCTAATGAAGAAACTGGTACCAGAGAGTAGCAGGTTCCCAAGACATGTCATGGGGATATTGGCAGAAACAGATCAAAGCTCCTATTGAAACAAGCTAGTATCTTTTCAGTAAATAGGAACAAAACTCTTTCAGCGTGGTGCCAGCTGGGCTTGTGCATTGTTTGAGTGGGTCCAAAAGCATATTATGGTCTCCTGTGTCAAAAGCATTGCCTGTTGAGGGTCTTTCACACTGAATCAAACTCAAAAAGGGTGAACAGTTGGATAAAAAGAAACATACTTGGCTAGTCATTTTCAGCGTCCACTTAGCTATTCTTGGAGATATTTGCATTTGAATAAAAACTTTCTCTCTCTGCAGCCCTGTTCCTTCTGCTGCTTGAATTGGCAAATTAAGTTGTTAAAATTGTGGGCCTGA